TTCCCAAGTACTAATTTTACTTGCCTATAGAGCTATTGGATAATTGTTCAATGTTTATCCCTAAAGATCAAGGTCGTATGATGTAGCAGTTAATATTTCTTGAAAATTACTTAGTTTATAAATATCAATATTGTCCTGAATGGAGTGTGGGCTGGCCAGGGGTTAAATGGTCTGCCTGTTTTGCATATTTTATAAAAGAGGGCAACTAGTGTAATTGCTAATTTAAAAAAGAAAGTTCAAATTAAGTAGTATGAAAACACCTTAAAGTAAACAGAATTCTTAAAACATTTTTTACGTGATACTGTATGCTATTAGTTACTCTGAAAACATCTTTTGCATGCGTAATTCAGCATATAATTATTTGCTGACGAAAGGTACGTATCAAATCTGAAACAAAGATGTTGACAGCTGTTCTTGAGCACCTCATTTGTTGATGTTATTTCTGTTTTTAAAGATGACATTGAAATTACTTTTTTCACGGTGGAAACCGATCGATAACTCTGACATTGACATCATCCTAGTAATGAAGCGTGTCCGATCTTTCGTATTTTTTTTCGTCTTGAGACGTGAGAGAATTTTATATTTAAAAAAATAGATTTGGCTATGAAAGAATTAATTTTCATTCGATAAGACAAGTTATTTCTGTTTTTAGCTCTACTGGTCAGAGACTAGAAGAGCTTATGCGATAGTAATGCGTCCGTCGTCCGTCCGTCTGTCTGTCTGTCCGTCTGTCTGTCTGTCTGTCTGTAAAAATTTTTCAAAATGCTACTCCTCCTACAGTTTTGGTCTGATTTCAATATAACTTGGCACACAAGTAGACTACACAAAGATACATAATTCTGTGTATCGGTTTTTGATGTTGTTGCCATGGTTACTAAAAATAGAAATTTCTGTGAAATTCTTTCAAAATGCTACACAGTTTTGAAATATAATTTTTCACTAAGATACATAATTCTGTGTATCGGTTTTTGAGTGAACGGTGTTGCCGTGGTTAAAAAAATAGAATTTTCTGTGAAATTCTTTCAAAATGCTACTCCTCCTACAGTTTTGGTCTGATTTCAATATAACTTGGCACACAAGTAGACTACACTAAGATACATAATTCTGTATATCAGTTTTTGATTTCGATGAACGGTGTTGCTGTGGTTACTAAAAATAGAAATTTCTTGAAATTCTTTCAAAATGCTACTTTTACAGTTTTGGTCTGATTTCAATATAACTTGGCACACAAGTAGAGAGAAGTTTTTGATTTGAAAAAAAAAAATAGATTTCTGTTAAATACTCTCAAAATGCTATGAACAGAAGCCTTATAATTAATGTGGCATGCAAGTTGATAAAGAAACTTAATCAAGTTATTTCTTAAGAACTTTTCTCTTCCTTTGCTTTAAGTAGAATTAAAAATAATGATTAAAAAAAATGATGGTACACTGCATGTACATTTCTTCATTGATTCTCTCAGAGAAAGATTTGGAGTTATATTAATACTCTCTGTCTCAACAATATTAAATAATAATAAAAAAAAGACATCAATTGAATGCTAAATTGACTTAATTTGCAAATTTTTAATGAATTGACTATAAAATAAGAAAAATGTTACAGAAGTCCTGCCATTTCAAAGCCCATCACAACAAGGGCTTGTATGTGTAAGACTTAAACAGCATTTGCAGTAAGACTTATCCAGCATTCGTAGATATGTGTTATTAAGTTATACCATTTATAAAAATAGAGCCTTAAAGCTTAGATGTACTAAACAAGTGAATTAAATGAAACAAAATGAAGTGTATTCAATTTATTATTTTTTAAAAATATTCATGATTAGCTCTAAATAATATATCGAGAAGGCTCCAACAGAAGCAATTCTATAATAGGAAATGCTGTAAAACTGGATCGTTGTTGAGATCTTACGGCTTATATAATTAGTTTAATACATAATAGATATGTTCAAATTTTAAAAAAAAATGGACATTTATGGTCCCATTTGAAGAAGGAAGGGTATATTGCTTTGCTGTTGTCTGTTGGTCTGTCTGTCTATCCATTCACCAACAGTTTTCTTTGCAGAGGTTGCACATACTGAAATAAAATTTGGTATACACAGATTTTTCATTAGGCCTAGAAAAAAATTGTTTGTTTCCGCTTTCAGGCCAAAAAAATATAGGGTAGGTAGGTAGGCAATTTCTTTTTTTTTTTGAAAAATTTCTTTTTGCTTATTTAATCAAAACATGTATAGAAGTAACATTAATGACAAAAGAAATGGTGTTTTCAAGCATTTCTGTGACTTAAACTTATGGCATAGAAATGGTGATCCTAACTTCTTTCTGTCTTGAAAAGCTTGCAAAGTTGGAGGCTATAATTCCCTGGGTGAAATCTTGCACATCATGAAAAAAGCATTATATTTAGGGCGGCACTATAAATTAGTTGACATATTTTATGTCTCAAACAAACATATTTTTTTTCTAGGCCTTAGAATATGTAGGACAAGTTTTGTTTTGGGTACAATCAAGCAATTTTTGACAGAGTTATACCCCTTGGAGGTACAAAAACTCCCAATTTAATATTTGCAGTTTCCATTCATGTCTAAAGGGGGGGGGGGCATAAGTAATTCACAAACTTTATTTGTTTTATTTTTATCACAGACCATTTTCCATGAATTTATGTTGATCCTGGAATTAAATCTATACATTTTTCTAATTCCTTGATAAATGATATCCTCAAATATTGATGAATATTGATGAAACTACAGTACCACAGTGTTGTTCATAAATTGTTTTTGCCATGTTAAAATTACACATAAAAACTAATGCACATAAAAATATTTGTTACTGGAAACCTTGAAATTCTAAAATATGGCAACCAAAAATAACTTTTTACCGTTAAGCAACCTAGAAGTAAGTGTGGCTTGGAGCACTGCATGCATCAGTGTGGATTAATTTTTTTTTTTTTTTTTTATTTATACAAAATTTTATTCACATAAGTGAATGGGATTGGGCAGCAGGCAAAGCCTATTTTAGCCCTCTCCCTACAAGGTCAGAATGAACACACAATATATAGATATGAAAATAAATAGACAAACATAGTAACAAAAAAACAAAAGAAAAAAAAGTAGAAAGAGAGAAAAAAAAAAAAAAAAATTACAGTGAAATACATGTACCGGTTAGAAAGCGTTGGCATAAGTAACATACATGACAGTTTCAAATAAAACGTTTGGTTGCTGCGATGAAAGCATGTACTGCTTCAAATATTTGAGTATTAATACCTAGTCCATGATTGGGACTACCATACAAAAGTAAATCAAGTTCATGAGTTTGATCACAATCAATAATATTTTGAATTGTTTGGAAAAGTACATTTCTTGGAGAGTTATATTTTGGACAAGCAAAAAAATAATGATGAGCATCTTCAACAGAGTCAATACAGTATTCACACATTGGTGTTTCTGATAAAAATTGGTTATATAATTTTGTGTGTGGATTAATTACTTCTCTGTTCTTTCATTTTCCCTTATTCCATCTGTAAGAATAAAACTCATTGGTTATCTTCTCTTATTCTATCAGTAAGAGTAAAACTCATTGGTTTTGATAAGTGCAACCTATTGGCCAAAAAAAATCTGCATGTGGCATATTACATTTATTGCATACAAACTGCTGTGGATCATGCACAAATGTTTTTCAGATGTATTGTTAATTAAGTAAAACCATATGAAACTATGGGGATTATGTAAGAAAAATTGTGTATTTCATAAGTCAATTATTAAGAGGTGTGTACATCTAAATGAGTGGAAAGAGATGAGTGGAAAGAGATATTAATTTTTAGCTCACCTGAGCTGAAGGCTCAAGTGAGCTTTTCTGATCACATTTTGTCCATAGTCCATTCATCCCTCTGTAAACTTTTCATATTTTCAACTTCTTCTCAAGAACCACTGGGCCAATTTTAACCAAACTTGGTACATAGCATCCTTTGGTGATGGGGAGTTTAAATTGTTAAAACAAAGGGCCAAGTCCCCATCCAAGGGAAGATAATCAAGAAAAGACAAAAATAGGGTGGGGTCATTAAAAAATCTTCTCAAGAACCATTGGGCCAGGAAAGCCGAAACTTATGTGAAAGCATCCTGAGGTAGTGTAAATTCTAAATTATTAAAATCATGACCCCCGGGGGTAGGATGGGGCCACAATAGGAAATCCAATTTTTACATAGAAATATATAGGAAAAACCTTCTTCTCAAGAACCAGTGTGCCAGAAAAGCTGACACTTATGTGGAAACATCCTGGAGTAGTGTAGATTCTAAATTGTTCAAATCAAGACCCCGGAGGGAGGGGGGGGGGGGTAAGGGGCCACAATAGATATAAGAAGAGGGGAAATCTGGTAAAGAACTGCATCACCAAAGTTTCTCAGGTGAGTGATGTGGCCCATGAAGCAAAGGGGCTAAACAAATATTTTTTAAAAATAGAAATATAGAAGATATTAGATTTTATGCAGGTACAAATCAAGACCATTAGAAAAAAATTTTTTGATACTATTCTAGGTTTCAATCTTCTGAGTTTTATGCTTGGCAAGTTCCCCAGATGAGCACTTGAGAGTTTGTGTTCAACAAGCCTAGCTCTGGCTACTCTCTGGTCAGACAAGGTCTGACTTCAGCCAATCAACCTGTAGCTCTTAATTAATTGTTTTACATCAGACATAGTTCACATTTCCTCATTCCTACAGGCAGGTGCTTGTACTCAGTTTGTCTTCATTCACTTTGGAGTTATCGATGGTGTGCATAAATGCATTGCTGGTCATTTCCCTTGTTTTATGGAGTTAGATCATTGATGTTTTAAAAACTTTTAAAAGTTGGTTTGTATTTTTATTTCAGTAAACTATATAATATATGATATAACTTTGACATTTCACAAAGAAATCAGGTGAAATTTAGTATAACGAGCCAATAAAAATGCTACATACTTCATTGTTAGTGTAACAAATGTTTTTACCAAACAAAATTAATATCTATTTTTGAATTGTAGATGCAGACCTTGAAGCAGCTGCCCTTGACCTTGATGGAGTTGTGAGTATTTCTAAAATTCAAGACATAATAATCATCAGATACCCATGCATTAATGATCTTGTCTTTTACTGGATCATCACTGGTCAATAAATGTGCAAGGTTTAGCATGGGCTTCCGCCAATGTTTTCTATTAATTAGGAAATGTGAAAATTCTCTCTGATTTTATATATACATGTATTGTCTTCAGAGTAAGAGGAAACTTCAATTGAAAATGATAGATTTTTTAAAACATGAGTATATGGAACACCAGTGGCTATGTGGTAGATTTGTTATTTGATCAACCTACCAATATCTTTCTTTGTAGTTCATGCATTACTCTTCCTGATTTAAGTTAATCAAAACACAGAAAAAAATTCTTTAAGAAAAATTGATCAAAGGAATTGAAACTGGAAAAGAAATGTATTTTTATGGTCTGCAAGCAAGGTAATTTGAAACTGACAGAAGCAAGGAAAGGGGAATGTTTTTAACAGGTTGAATAAGACTTTTCCTTTCTCTTACATATGTACAAACAATCTACCTGTCAGGTAGTCGTGAACAGATACACAGGCTTGGATAGGAACGGACTTGTACCAGAACAAAGCTATTCTCCTGATGCGGGGCATTACAAATAAGAATTACTTTCTGGAGAAATTATTTTCACAAATTTATTTAAACCAAAAGAATATAATCCTGTTACTTTAATTTACATGTATGAATAATGAGGTCTTGTATACAGGGTCCGACACTCGTCAAAATTTGGTCTCGTCATTTGGGCAACCTTGGTATGGTCGCAGGTTGCCCGAATGAATTTCAGGTCGTCCAAATAAAATATCAAATGAAACAAAACTCAATGTACAATTGTTTAAAATTTGTTAAGATAATTAACAGAATTTGTGTTTTTTCAATTTTGTATTAAAAAATGTAAACCCGACATTTTTGGAATATCAAGATGTCTTTCAGTATTTTATCAAACAAAAATATGAGCAGAATGATGATTGAATCAGACATGCAGAATGCTTAAGTTTGTAGTTTAAAACATATAATCCTGTACCCCTTGCTTGTCGTAAAAGGCGACTAAATGGGGCGGTCCTGCGGAATTTACGGCAGGTGTGGCATGATCCCTCCCTGCTCAAAGGCCGTAAGTGCCGAGCATAGGCCTAAATTTGCAGCCCTTCACCGGCAATATATATCAGTGAAATATTCAGAGGGACAACAGAAACCCTGCATAAATGGGTTCAAATAACCTGGACTGAAGTAACGAGGTGTGATATTACAGTGGACACCCAACATGGCTGTCTAGCAGCAGAAAACGATCATCAGATGATCAGAAAGTTGTAGGGGGAAATGCAAGATGTTACAATGATGATAATTACTCTTTATATTTAAGGTGATTGTTGACTAAGTTGACATATTTTATATCTCAAATAAAACTTTAATCAAGACTTTTGGTAAAAATTGCATCAGCTGATTGATCAAACACAGATTTAGCAGGAAGGAAAATCTATGCGGCGGCAATTTGAACATGTTGAAAGAGTTGGTTTTTTTACAGGAAAATATTTTTGCAAAGCCTTATGAAGTTTATTTTAAAATATTAAAGATCATTATTAAATATTCCCAACTTGTCCCAGGTCGTCATTTGGGCGAGCCAAACTAAAAATCAGGTCGTCCAAAATCATTTCTGGATGGAAATGACGAGGTGACGAGCGCGAATGTCGAACCCTGTACAGTATATATCCACAAAGAACTTGAGACTTATCTTGTAAATTAGTGTCAAGACTTTCATGTTCTGTAATATTGTTACATTATTTCAAGTTCATTGATTGCTATATTGATGAAGTAGAATAATTTATAATTTTTAAAAAAAAAATAATTATGCTCATAAAGAAATATTATTTTTATCTGTACTCTCTCTCTCTCTCTCTCTCTCTCTTTCTCATAAATGAAAAACAGACCTGAATTAAGGGGCATAACTCTGAGCTGAGGATTAAAACCTAGGCTAAAAGTTGTGTTGCTATAATCTTTGTTTATTTAAATCATGTGTTGTCAAGTTTGAAATATTTTGAAAAATTATATTACTGTACTTTAAATGAGTTAATATTCTGTTATTGTTCAACCAAATCAGTTAATGATTAGCTATGTGACATTTCAGGGTATGTATTTCATTGGCAATTAATGACGCATACACGGCAGATATACTTTAATCAATTTATTATTTGACAGTCAGTGATCTTGAAATCTCGGGCATCACCAAAACTTTAATAGAATCCAACTATTTTTCTCAAACTACATATTTAAGAGAAAAAAAGAATGAATGAAATTAAAATTAATGCATTAAAAAAAAATATATATAACAAATTGATTAATTAGATATTTATAAATAAAACTCCTGCATCAACAGTTTATTTTTTAAGGAGGAACTATAAAACTTGTGTTAGAGTATATTTTTAAAGCATAATATCTTCATCCTCTTAGCTAGTTAAAGTTGTTACATTTTCCTCCTTGCATGATGCATATAAATGCTGTTATTGATTTATGAAAAAGAGAAGATTAGAATTAATACACTTTCCCATAACACAAGTATAATTAAATCCTAGATTCCTAGTGAAGGAAATGGAAAAAAGAATGTTATATCGTCAGCAGCAACAGAAAATGTGCCTGCCAGATACATGGTGGCCTAGATACTGAGGTAAAAGGTCATGACTGTAAAGTTGACCTATATTGTGAGCCATTTCCTCTTTCTGTTTACATGTGTACAGTGTTAGACAATATGGTGGTGTCTGATATGTACTTCTCTGTGATATCTTAGCCCACAGGTAGGTGACTGTAGATAGAAATCTAGTAATTACTGGAGATAGAATCTGTAAATTTTCATTTACTAGTTATATTCCAGGCTGTGATCTATTTTGAAATAGGCAGTGTAACGATATGAATACTCTGACTGATTTATGAAGTAGAGAGAAGGCCTGTACAGAAACATGAATGACTTCATCATTTTCTAGTTAAATGTAAAATTTTTTTATGAAGCTGGTCATTTACAAAGGATATAGGAGACCTATCAGTGTGGTCTTGATGAGAAATAAGTAGGAAGTGCATTTTTCTTTTATTATATTTGTTTATAGTCTATATATTGATATACTGGAATTCAATTTGGTATGTGTAAGAAGGAAATGAAGAATTTGTATGATCACAAAGTATGGAAAATGTAGGGTTCTGTATCTAAGTGAATTAATTGTTGAATAGGCCTATATTGAGTGTGTTTTTCATTTCTCTAGGGCTATAACTGCAGCATTTATACAATTATTGACTTATAGCTAGAATTTCACTGCAGCACCTGTGCTGACTGTAGACTGCAGTTTTTGTGGATCATGCAAAAAAATCTGTATTTTGGTAAAGCCAATTGGCGATATCCTGTGAGTATATATAATTTTAGTCACAGTATATCAAAGTATATAAGTGCGAATTTCTCATATTGACATTGTAATTTTTTGTCCCCCGCTTTCGCGAAAGCGAGGGGACATTAAATCTCGTTCGTCTGTCTGTCTGTCCGTCTGTCCGTCATACAAAAACTTTAACCTTGCCCATAACTTTTGATTTAGTGGAGCTATGACTTTCATATTTCACATGTGTATTCCTTGTGACAAGACCTTTCTTTGGGTACCACCAAATTTGACCTTTTGACCTTGACCTTGGAGTTTGACCCACTTTTACACAAAAATTCCAAACTTTTACTTTGGCCATAACTTTTGAATAGTAGGTACTAGGACTTTCATATTTCACATATGTATTGTTTGTGGCAAAACCTTTCATTGGATAACAACAACCTTGACCTTTTGACCTTGATTTTGGAGATTTACGTACTTATGAAAAAACTTTAACCTTGACCATAACTTTTGAACGGTGAGGACGAAGGCTTTCGTACTTCACATATGTAATCCTTGTGAGAAGACCTTTCATTGGATACCAATAACTTTTGCCCTTTGACCTTGACCTTGGAGTTTTAATTACATTTTAAAAACTTTAACCTTGGTTACAACTTTTAAACAGTAAATACTAGGACTTTATATTTCACATATGTATTCCTTGTGGCAAGACATTTCATTGGATACCAACAGCCTTGACCTTTTGACCTTGACCTTGGAGATTTATGTACTTATGAAAAAACTTTAACCTTGACCATAACTTTTGAACGGTGAGGACTAGGGCTTTTGTACTTCACATATGTGATCCTTTTGAGAAGACCTTTCATTGGATACCAATAACTTTTACCCTTTGACCTTGACCTTGGAGTTTTAACTACTTTTTAAAAATACTTTAACTTTGGTCACAACTTTTGAACGGTAGATACTAGGACTTTTATATTTTACATATGTATTCTTTGTGGCAAGTCCTTTCATTGGATATCAACAACTTTGACCTTTTGACCTTGACCTTAAAGATTTATGTACTTATGAAAAAACTTTAACCTTGACCATAAATTTTGAACAGTAAGGGCTAGGGCTTTCATACTTCACATATGTAATCCTTGTGAGAAAACTTTTCATTGGATATCAACAACTTTGACCCTTTGATCTTCACCTTGAAGTTGACCTACTTTTGATAAACTTTTTACTTTGGCCATAACTTTTTAACGGTCAGGATTAGGTTTTCATCCTTCAAAAAAATCAACTTCAGTGTTATTTCTCCAATAATTGCCCACGTGTAATGCTAGAACCAGCACAAAAAATATTTTTTTTGCAGTCAGTTTACATGCACTTAAAAACTAGATGGATTAAAAATATTTTTATGGTGTTATTCGATGAATAAAAATCTGCATAAGAAGGGCTGGTTATCAGGAACCATCTATGCAAAGTAGAAACGCGACAAGGATAAGAGGAGTTTATGTTAATTATATTCTGATTTAATAAAGAATGTCAAGTGTTAAATAACTGCTGAATCCAGTTCCCATGATAACCTTAAATGACCTTAGATAAAAATATTTCAACCATTAGGTTTATTTAATAATAAAGTCTCACACTGAGAATGAGTTTTGAAAATAAGATAAATAAGTAAAACTTGATAAAAAATGTTGCAATTCTTGTTGCAAATCTTTTTTAAGTATAGACCAGTAGAGTTACAGTCTCTACAGAGACTTTTGATTAAAGGTTAGACATCAGTATGAACTGCAATCTAGATTTATTCTTTATGAAGTTTATTTACTTTTTATGCATTTTATTTGTAATTTAGGGAGTTAAGGAGTATAAATCACATTAAATTGTCAAAAGAAAAAAATTGTGAGTGGGTGGTGAGATTCCCTGACAAGGCTGATGGATAGAGGAGGCATCTTTATGGAAATAGGATGTAATATCTGTATCAGATGCACAATTTGTTTGGCATTGCAGGACTAAAGCATTAAAAAATATGATCCTGATGATTGGGACCAGAATGGTCTGCCATAAAGCTATCTTTTCCCTTGTACAATTCCAACTTAATATAGATTTCTGTCCTTACAAAAGTCGGTGAAATCTTAATATTGTGCAAATCTGTGTTGTCTTTTATTTGGACTAGAATTAATTTATTAGATCAAGGTCGGAGAAGTATAATTTGTTTAGTTATTTTCAAATTAGATCGTGCTGTAATACCTAAATGTCCAGAATTGAATGAATTCCAATATCTGGATAAGATGAACATATTTGGTAAAAAAAAAAAAAAAAGATCTTTAAATGTCAGCATCAAAAATGTAAGATTTATGTAATATGTATACCATGACTTGACCTAAATCCAGAAAAGGATACCATTGGAAAAACAATTTTAAAAAGATTAAATTTTCTAATAATATAACAGTATATGAATCAACAATTTTCAAAATAAAGTTGACATTAAACCCACATATTAAATTATTATTGTTATACTCCCTGCAAACAAACTTTGGGGGTGGGGATGGGGGGTTGATTGTATGTTATTTAATCCCTCTTGAGAATTTTTCAATCCTATGGAGACACCACCATTTGCCGGTGAAGAGCTACAAATTTTGTTGTATACTCCGCACTCAGGGCCATTGAGTAGTGAGGGATCTTTTTCGTGCCAGCACCTACTGCGACACGGGACCTTGATATATACGGTAACATTTGAAGGACCGGTCTGCACATCCCACAGTGGGAACCCTTAATGAAGGATCAACTCCTTACTTTGCTACTCTAGAGCAGACATTCTAACCACTGCACCACGTGGGGGATGGGGTGATATGAGAATCATGTAATCCAAGTGTCTCTCGGTCCATGTAACCTTGCTTGTCTGAACTAGAACTTTGTAATATAGAATCAATGGAAGCTTGTACTTGGTACAGAGATTCTTTAAAACCAGAGGGTGTTCTTAACCTTGATCAAAGGTCATTCTAACAAGGTCACTGGAAGAAATAAAGTATACAAAACTTGTCCTGACCAAACCATTACAAAGGAGAAACTTGGAAGCTCACACTTTGTACAGAAACTGTTTATGCTGAAAAAAAAAGTTTATCAACATTGGTAAGTAAATCAATGTTCCATTGACAAAATTTGAATGAGCACTTTAAAAAAGATACAGAAGGGGGTATTCATAATTTGGTGAGCTCTTTCATTATTATATTCTTAAGATAGTTATTTTATATAATCGAGTTAAGAATTGGATATGTATACTGATATTTTTCAGAAAAATATTGCAATTAAGGAAAAAAATATTATTTTGAATATGCCACTAATGTGAGTATTGTGATAAACTTAACCATATTTAAATTTTGAATCCCCATTCCTGATTGACACAGAGTGTTGAATTATTTTTGTATCCCCTAGGGAATATTTCAGAATCTTTCATTTAGTAGACATTTGTCATACCAAGTTGAACTTTTTTTGTTTATGTTTTAAGCCAACCTTTATAAATAGGTTTTAAAAGTGCAATGGCTTCTCAGTGCTGTGTTTCATGTCATGGTCATCCAATCTTGAATCTTTTCTTATAGATTCCTGTTATAGTAAACCTTTGGCTTTTATTTCTGTCACTAAAAAAAAGATTGGATATGTCTGCAACCACAAACATGACGCTACTCTTAATTATGGACAACAATGAATAATGTTTGCATTCACTCCAGTTAGTTGTGAAATGTTATAATGTCACCCTGCTTTGCACAGTGGTTAGAATGTTTGCTCCAGAATCAGCGAGTAAGGAGTTGATCATTACGTCATGGGTTTGAATCGCAGTATAGGACGTGGAGTCCAGTATTAATTCAATGAGACCATATAAACCAAGGTCCCATGTTGCAAACAATCAAATTAATGAACAAAGAAGTTCTAAACCTCAACATCTTCTGTCTTGGTAAACAATTTTACTGACTACAACATGTATATACTTTAAAATGCTTCAGTCCTTTCCAACTCAAGACAGACAGACAGACAGACAGACGGTTTGTCTCCTTGCATAAGATGAGATATGTGTAATACTAAATCTACTAATATTATGCATTCAAGTGCTTATGAAACTAATTGCAGTTTATGATTTTGATTCAAGACTGTTTTAATTAAAACACACCAAGAAAGCTCTGATTAAATACTCTTCAATTTTCCCTGAATTATTTATTATAACATTCAAGAAGACATGTTGAAAACCAAGTTCTAAATCATATATGGTAAATAAGTGAAGTTTGAAGGTTTCCTTGTACTTTTAACTAGGAGGTTTTGTTGGCTAAACCAATTAACTTGGTTAATCATTTGTTTACATATATTTGGTTCACTAATTCACCTATAAAAAGAAACTGTTCATTGGTTAAATATATTAAGTTAAATTCTCAAATTTTGACTTTTCTCTTTTCTGTTAGGAATATATTTCCACGAAAAAGGATGCAGTCATCACATGCATTAGTTGTAGATTTAATAAATCATTTTCAAAATATACATATGCAGCTAAATACAGCTATAAGGGGGAAAAAAGTTACGAAAAACGGAAGAATTTTTTTCTAAAGAAAACAAATTCAAATCAAATCTTGTTTCATGCTGATCATTCCAGGTTATATGGGATAATTAAGTGGATATGAATTATAATTGATCAAAAGTGTCTTTTTGTGTCATTTTTTATACATGAAAAAAATGATACATTTTATTTAATTATAGACAATTGATAAACCTGCCTTATAATACATACATCCAATCTTTTAACTCTTAAGCATTAAAATCTGTAAGTTTAAAACTAATTATTGATCTCTTGAAAACAGGTTATTTATTGGGAATTAAAGCCAATTAACTTCATTTAAGGCATTTATGTACAAATTATATTCTTTAAGAATTCAAAGAATTCCTCTTCTTGTTCAATTTAAGAAAGAGTTTTCCTATTTTTCCATATGAATTAGTGAAAGATTATAACTTATTATTTAGAAAATATCATTGTATGATTCAACTGTGAAACAGACGAATGAAAGGGTTGTCTGTCGAAAATACCCTCAAAAGATTTTCACCACACAAAAAAGTGCCAACCCAGGACTCTATTGTTTGAAAATAACGAGAAGGCACAAATAACAAACGTTTTGGTGTCTCGGATGACACGTAGGATTTTGTTTGACTGGGGGTGTTTGGGGTTTACGGATCCTTGACAGGACAACTTTCTATACCCTGATCATTTATTGCTTTTATTTCTGCACTTATCACATAGCAGGACTGAGGAGTTATATCTGAAATACTTCACAGTCGTGAGGAAAACTTTTTTTATTCTGCGCTGCAAAAAGTTGAATATCTAAAGATAGGGTTACTACAGGAAAAATGTGTTTCATATTATAAAAAAGGAGAAATCTAGATACCTTACACCTTAGAATCCTGAGTGCAAAGAAGCACACATTCAGCATTTTGATTTTTTTATGAATGGATGCCTGTCTGATATTTTTTATGTGAACATTGAAATTTGAATTTCAGTTTCTAAGGGGCTATCTGGATTATGCCTCATCCTGCAATGAGGTAAGTTTTATAGGCAGGAAATATCATTGTGGGGTTAAGGATATATGTTACAGAGGACCACGTGCATGTTATATAACCCCTTCCCTGCTTCCTACCCGTCCTCCTGTTTCTGGACTTCGGATGGTACCAGGTGCTTTCAATTCGGGTTGTAGGTCTTAATTAGCATAAACTTTTAAATTTTTATTTTTTCACTTTTTGAAAATCTATAAAGACTTTACAATATGCAATTAATGTGATATAGATCCAATGATTATATCATTTCATGCCACTTTTGAAGAGGAATCAAATTTGATTTTATTCTTTCCCTGTTTGTATATGACATAATTATCGAAATTCCTGATAATATTTAAGATATAGTTCAGCAATATAATAACATGTGCTTTAATTTCCTGGCACACTTTGACCAATATTTAGTCTAATTGAGGATACAAGGACATTGCAAGCAGCTCAAAGGTCAGATATATGTATTCAGTCAATTGAGGTCCAAACATTTTAAAAAATTATTTTAAAAATGCAATGAAACATTTACAGATCATAACTAAAGATACTTTGTTAAATTATGCAATAATTAAAAGGTAGAAGTTTTTTTTTAAGTATGCATGAAAGGCTAAGTGGTTGAATTATGTCCATTGAACTTTGTCTTTTATTTCAGACTTTGTGCAATATAAAGACATGTCCTTATTGTATTTTACTTTAAATTATAAAATAAGGTTTTAACCGGTAAGCATTCTCTTAATTATTTGCAATGAAGAAAAACAATTCTAACAGGGTAGTCTGTCCTTTTGGCTGTTTAAAGTTAATTCTACGTTTAACGTCACACCTAAAGTTCAAAACCTATGAGGGAGGGAGGAAAAAAATAAACAAACAAAATTTTCAAACAGTTGTGAATTTATTCAAATTAACCTATTCAGTACATTAAAAACATTACAATTAAGTAATAAGAGCATTTAATTGATATGACACCTAAGATTAATTTCCCTAGCAGAGTTTTTCCTTAGTATGTAATCAGTTTGAGTCCTATTGTTAGCAAACAATGTAGTCTAAGACTGAATGTGCAGGAAAGTTTTTAACTAGGCCTCAGTTGTAATTGCCACATGTCTATGGTACCCTGGAGGCAAATGCTTCTTCTTGTGGTAAAAGTTGATCAGTATCTACAATCAAAATTATTGATGACAATATTTAAAAGTGTTCATGTTGAAATATCCTCAAATTGAATTATGTCCTATTTTTTCTTAGTATTAGATCTACTAGCATTAAGTTTTGAAAGTGTGAATACTAATATTTGGACCATACTGATAAGATTATCTTTAATACCTTGAATTCCACACAAAAGACAGGATTCTTCACATCTTGGAATACCCCAACCACTTTCCTTACTCTCCTTCACTTGAAAGGCCCTATCTTCGGTAAGCTTCTCCCTGCTCAAATGGTTATGACAAGTATATTATCTTTCCCAAAAATTGTAGCTTTTTGTAGGTACATAAATTATGAAGAAATCAATTATTTTACTCATTACTGTTCCTTTCGATTTTTACAGAAATATTTTTAATATGAAACATATAAGTAAGATTTAAATGATGCTTTTCACTGTATATAAATCACACAGTTTCCACTCAGTAAAAAAGTTTTTCGATTCTCTCCAAAATACAATGAATAAAAAAACCGTCGATAATAATTAAAATGACACAGGAAGTCATTATTGAAGCTCACTCCTCCATGGCATCTGATCCCACCTATGATGTTTTGAAAGTTCTGTTTGCTCTGGTCCTATTTTGTACTGTTTTATGGAATTTGAGATTGGATAAGTTCGTTATCTCCATATCTTTCATAAAAATTATAAAAATTCAGCCAATAGAATCACGAACTGAGAGTCTGTCACTGTCAGTCTGTACATATGATTCGAAGACTGACAAAAAAAAATCAACATACAAGACTTTGTCATTAATATAATCATAAAATAATCTTTTTTTTCTTAACTTACATTTATGGTCCCAAACTTTTAAATTAATTTAACTGTCCATTTTCTGTCACTACGGGATTTCCCAAACCGGAACGGACATAAAAAATTTCTCATAAACCTACGCGCGCGGGTGACGTTAAACGTAGTTTTAATTTTAAACAGCCTTTAGAATTTTCTGTATTCTAATGCAGTAAATTACAGCATATTCAAGGTGATGTAATTAATGTATTTATCCAAAGTTAGTAAAAAAAAAATGCATAATTGCACGGAGATTTTTACATCAACTATGTGGCTTCCTTGCACAAAACAAAAACAGCTAGGATGTGGTAATGTTTTGTAGATCGCTGGAAATAGCTAGGTCACAGGTATTCACTATACAATTTTGTTTCATATATCATTTTAACCTTTTTAAAATCATTCTTAATGCTGTTAGGATTTTATGGTATACCATGAATACTTGGATTTTAAATTAATTTTACTGTCCTTTGATTTCCCTAAAAAATGAAAATCCTGAATACACCCCCGACAAACTCTATGCTTCTTACACTCTGATTTGGCAATCCTTGTAAATTTATTTTAATTTGATACAAAATGTATTATTAAGGAGTCTTCTTCCATATAAATTTTTAAAATAAATTTTTAATGTTCTTCCTTACACAGTTAAGGTAGTTCTTTCTTACACAATTAAGGTATCTTTGTTTTGCATTTTCCTATTAAGAGATTTAAATTATACAATTCTGTATGTGACATCTTACAAAGTTTCATTAATCACCATGTTTTTTAAAGACTTGTCTTTCCATGAATTTACTTCCAGTAATTATGAACAAAGGAAAACAATTGGCACCAGCGTGTGCACTTTGCACCGTTTACTTTAAATGAAACTTGAAACCTTTATTTAAAGGACACATAAACTTTAAAATTGGGGCCTACAAAGACAATTGTTTGGTGTGAATATTGTACATATTGAAATATGTGTGAGATATATACAATTCTGATTTTTTTTTAAATTCTGAATTAAAAGGCAAAGTTTATTAACCCTCACATTATAAGCATGGAAATATTAAAATATTCAAATTGGGAGCAGAGATAAATATTCAGCTTGGGATCAGAGCAAAAATGGTCCCTGGAGGAGTAAGCATCTCCTGTAAAATGATCACATCAGTCGTGTGCTCCTTGTCATGACTGGGCAAATGGAAAATCTGTAGATTTTTGTTACATGTATATGCTTATTGTTAAGCATGAAGACTTTCTAATATGAACTCCCCTATTCTGTTGAGCAAAAAAAAAATATTACCTGCATATGGGGCTGATATGTTTCTAAGTTGATTCAATAGCAAAGAGCAGGTTCTTCACAAAAAAAAAAACAATCTTCAAAATGAGACAAACTACTTGCAAATAAGTTTATTTTTTAAAGGGTAAAAGCTTGTTTAAAGCCAATATTTTTCAGATTCTATGGTCAATTATTACTAATATTTTACTAAATTGACAACTCACAGATTTGTTTATTTTTCTAACCTTGATAAAAGGCAAACAATGGGTGTGACAAGTTGACAGGGGAAGCTTATCTCTCCATTACACCTGATCCTGACCCACCTCTGATGTTTTCATGAGTTTGTGTGTTTGCTCTTTTCATAAATTTATTGGGTTTTGAGCAAGATAAAAGCATTGAGAGTTTATCTCATCTATACATATCAAACATTGATTTAGTAATTTACATATATCTGGCTGTAATCACTCAAAATATGTACTGTTACTTTGAAAGAATTTCAATCACAGGTTTCCTAAATGTAATGCATTATTTAGTGTAGTATGCAACAGGTTGAATGTTCCATTAATTAAAAAAAGGTGACAGTATTGCTAGAAGACAACGTAACACTGAGGAATGAATGGTTTGTCAATAACTGCGTTAATTTATGTCAAGATTTAAGAAATACATGTACCCCAATAATCAGAATGACATGCAAATTAATTTACAAAAGATATTCAAATGAGAATTGAAAAATGGAAGCTCAGAGATGTTGCATTTTAGGTGAAACTAGACTACACAGGCACGTAGCATCGTTTTTGAAAGTGGGGGGGCCAACCTGAGAAATTTTTTTTTTACTTACCTGAAAAACTTGACAAGCAAAAAAAAAAAAAAACGAAAAATTAAAAGTTCCCCAAAGTCGAAAATCCTATTTCATGGGGGGGGGGGGGGGGGGGGGGGGGGGGGGGGGGTAGTGGCCAAGATTTTTCAAGACAGACTATCTTTCAATTCAAACTTTTTGGGGTAAATTTTCTTTATAACACTACACTGTGCTGAAATGTGGGGGGGCCAACCTTCCTTTCAGTAAACATTTTCTATAGTAAAGGTAATGTCGGGATGCAATTGTGCCTTTGTCCCAATCTTTTATATGCCTGCTACAAGTTGATGTAATTGCATGATTACTCTGTGAATTTTTTATTAATGTAGATTCCTTATTTTTTGCGAGTACTTATTATTGCGAATGGGCTCTTCAACGGCAAATCGCAGGAATAACAATTCATGAATAGACGGTTGATCAAGAGATTTTACATGAATTTCAGCACCATAAATATAAAAGCGAGTAATTTTATTTTGCGTGTGATGCTTCTCACAAAATTATGCGATAATTAATTCCATGCATATATTTAGGAATTTACAGTATGAGGAATTTACGCAATTGTGCCTTTGTCACAATCTTTTATATGCTTATTCATTAACCCTTATCGTGCTAATCAAGATCATTTGCCGCGATCAACAATGTTTACGTTTCAGTGCTGGTCGCGGCATAAGTCGTTTTTGAATATCGGAAATTCCAATTCCTATTTTAAGAATAAAAAACCCTTGTACAAACTATTTTTGTGTTGGTATTTCGTCATATCCGTTTTATAATCCGAATCACTGTTTATAAGCCCTTATTTCATTGGTTGAAAGTACAAAAGCTCATCAAAAAGACGCAGGTTGTATTCCTTGTTTACTTCAGTTACAAAAATGGCGGAATGTATCGACACTGACGATTTATTCCTAAACAACGCCGAATAACTGCATTTATTTTAAATTATCTTGGTAATTTAGAAAAGAAATTGCTTTTGAGTGCTTTGAGTATGTTCATTTTATTAATATCAACGAATTTATACCGGAGATGTAGATATATTAGTTGGATAAAGTTGGTGTTATGCAGACGACGATATACACGAGAACTGGAGACGTTGTGGACACGTCTCAGAATAAAACATGGAATTTGAGTTCTTTGTTCTTGTTTAAGTATTTTTTTTTACAATTATTCACACCATTGAAATAAATAAACATAAATAACTGAATATTTTCTCTAGTTTCTTAGTTAATGAGGTTTACCTGACGTACCTGTCTTACCTGAGCGTACCTGTATCACAGTAGATATACGTATAGGAAAAGGTGATGAAATATCATCGCATCAAAACTGTTTTCGATTGAAAGAAATCATATTTGTTTTAAAAGAATGAAATTTTAGTGTAGTTTTGTGTAGAATGCACATGCATTACATTTCTTACCTGTAACTTACACAGGTGAGTTTTTAGAATGAATCTGATAATGGAGTGACATTTGTGCTGATTCAAACTATAAAAATTATACGTATAAGAATTATGGATGTATCTTAAAAAATAAAAATTCTACTGTAATTTAAAGACACTAATATTTAAAAAATGATTTTATTGTTTTATGCAGCACCCTGTTATAATATTATACAAATATTATAAAGCATGATAAGGGTATCAGAAAAACATGGCCTTATTGTGTGTAAGATACATATATTAAATAGAGCAGAGTTAATTCAGATTTTGATCTGTTCTAGAACACAAAAATTCAGACATGTTACTAAGACTGTAGAAATGGGGAAATAGACATCCGGGATTAGAAACCAGGTTAGGGCCATTGTCCCAAAAATCTAGTTGGTTCTTTAAATTTTTAGTTGGGTTCCAGAGTTTTCAGTTCAGTTAATTAGATCAGTTTTAAACCTAAATTTCATTAATTAAACTTGAAAAAATCTTTATTTCTTATACAAAATCAGTTAGAAAATCAGGCTTAATCACCAATGTTAATGCCTGAATATCAGTGTTTAGGACTAAAGGCTACAGCATGACCTTTTTTCTCGTCTTGAAAATATCCCATCCTTTGGTGATAATTATCCCAAACAAGTGACAGGTGTTTTGCCATGGATGAAGTAAGAGTTTATTTATCACTTTTATGGACATAATTCTATTTTGTGTGTGTAATAGCAATTTTGACAAATAAAATGGATCCAAATGGATAACCGGAAAAATGAAATTTAAATGAAACCAAACAGCATGGGCTGCACTGTTTACGCCTTTATTCTGGAGAACTGTGTCAGTCCTAATTCAGGTTGTATCCATATCTATTTTTCTTGGAAACCCTTCTTCTTTATCAGTTTTATTGAGGTCTTTGGCTTATCTGTAGAAATTATGTTGTCTAATATGAAAATGAAGACACAGTAACCTTCAGAGTTTGTCTCAGTCAGTGGTTTAGAAGATTCATCTAGGTCATTAATATCATAATTGCTTTTTTATCTTGGCCTTCAGGGGAAAAGGTACATTGTTGCTTCTACATCAAAACACTGTAATAATTTGATTTTTTTTTGTGTTAGGTTGGTTTCAAAGCCTAAATATTAAAATTCTTAGATAGGATGTGTTATGCCACTGGGTGTAAATTTGATCTTTAAAAGAAATTTGTTCCTGGTGTTAATGAGCAGGGAACCTAATAATTAGCTGTGTTTGGCCTTAAGGTATAGAATACTGGGAGATGTATGAAGATAAGCAGGATATTATTTACAGTATACAGTATGCCTTACCTCGGACACGCTTGGTGAACCTCACGGAGAGGCAATCCATATATTATCTACTGTCATCTTACACACATTTAAATGAGAAAAAAAGAGGTTTTTTGGTGACAATGACATTGTGTATAGGAGATACCTGGAGACTAAGGTGCTCTTTAATCTGTACTTGTAGCGTGACTTTTTGGCGTAGGGGAATCCCATAGTACATTGCTGCAACATGTGGATTTTGGCAGAGTTGGAATATTTTGCAGTGTAGTAGATCCACACCTTGAATGATTCATTTTTGTGTAGTTTCTGGTTTATCTGGTCTCTTTCTCATTTTGCTGCAATCCATATCTTTCACATTAACTTCATGGTGGTGATGTAATTAGATTGACACCATTCTTTCTGCTTCGTTGGGCTTGTGAAAAATAAAAAAAAAAAAAAACATTTATTGATTCCAAACGAATAATTACAGAGGGAGCAAGTCTTGTGCATTGACATTAACACAATTTTGCGCGTGGATGTAAATTCTTTTCATGTGTTGTGTAAGAAGAGAGGTAAAAAAGATGCCTGCAAGGATCAGAAACTAGAGCAAGACTCGGACAAATGGACTGGGACGCACAGGTATGCTGTCTGATTTTGGTGTGTTAGTGGATTGGGTTTTATTGCCTATGTCTTGATGGTGTTAACATTTTTATTGTTTTTCAATGGCTGTAGACACCAGCTACAAAACTTTTTGGCAGGTTAAGGTAAGCAATGTGACAGTTTAGGTGCAATCCTCAATCTCTGGTCTACGTTTTTTTGTGTCTTTGTTTTTGTGTTTTAGAATTACCTCTGGATAAGAATAACTAAGAATGTGTTTACGTGTATATTATTCATTAAGAAATTCTCTGTTATATTGCGCAAGAGAAATATAATTAGACAAAGTGCAATAAACATCTTTGTATTGTTTATTTATTTTTGTTTAACTTAAGCACCTCAATTTATTTTGCTTTTCTGAATTGTATAATTCACATCATATGTATGACAGTTTCTAAAATTTTCATTTTTTTTTTTTTTTTACTGTAGCAGGGTTTTTTTTTTTTAATATATAGAGTATTGCTTTTACTGGAAAATTCTTTGAGTTGGTTAAATTATAAAATGTATTGGTCTTTTAAAAGACTTCAGTTTGAAAAAAAAAATAGTTATGCGTATTGATTACAAGTTAATCTGACTTATAACGTCCCATCTGTGAAGGATAGGAATGGCGAGAATGAAAAGATCTAATTTTGAAGTTTTATCAGGCCACTTTTCCTGTAATTGCATTTTTTGTGCACTTTTAATTATCGTTTCCTTTTCAAGGTCCATTTGCAGTTTAAGATATGTATTGTGTGGTGGATTAAGGCAAGAGATAAAAGTTCAAAGGAAAGAAAGATTTTAATCCATGTTTTTAAGATAATTACCTTGCTTTGGCTAAGGTGAGATAATAATTGAAAATGGTAAGATCAGTGATTTCATCATCAAAGACCGTTCATTTATTTATGGTTCTTGGTTAAAGGGAGTCGATGGGGACATATGTTTCCATTCTTTGAAATTGCCAAGTGTCTTTAAAAACTAAATTAACTAAGAAATCTATCAGTGAATTTCTCTTTGTAATTTTGAGGTTATTTGTTGTTTTTTGAAATGCCTGAAATTCGTGGGCTGACCCAAGGGTTCTATAAATCGGCCATTCCTTACTCAGTGCTCCTTCAGCTTTGTTTACATTGTCAGGTTTTGGGAGTCTGTATAAAATGAGGATGCAGAGATAACGTAATTGATGATGACTATGGAGAATTTGATACAACAGATAAGTAATCATGGAGATAGGGGAATTAATTTTGGTTCCTCATGCTTGTATCTTTTCTTAGAAATCTTTGCCATGTACTAAATTATCAACTCTTTCTGTCTCATTAAGCAATAAAGAATAGCTCCAAATAAAAAGTTTTTTTAGTCGATTTATAAGATAATATTATTCAGTGCCTTTGTTTACTTTAAGATTTCCTCTTAAATCATGAAGAGTTGTCAGAATTGGATTTCACCTGCATGCCATATTTGTAATTAAAGGATGAAAAATTTTATAGGATATGTCCTCAATGAAATTTTAGATGGACCTGACCCATTTTGCTAAATATTTTTGAGGCATCTCAGATCTTTAAAAAACTTGAGGTTCTGCATTTGATTCCATTGTGCTGACCAAAATACATGTTTGCTTATAATGTCCCTTTGAGAATTTTTTCACTCATATTTGAGATGCCACCACTTCTGGTGGAGGCTGGGCTGCAAATTTAGACCAGCATGTACTTGTCATTTGCGGCCTTTGAGTGATGAGGGATTTTTTTTATGCCAACACCTACTGGGACCTAGGACCTTGATTCAAAGGACCAATCTCCATGTCCCACAGTTGAACTCTAACCCACAACATAAGGATCGACTGACCTTAACTCCATGACTTTAGAGCAGAAGCCCAAACCACTGCACCACGTGCAGGAGAATAATACAATTATATTGTGAAATATTATATAAGAAGATAATTTTTTGAAGTCTCAGATGTTGAAAATTAGAAATCTCAATCTTCTTCTATCGGTTTATTTTTACTCATTCTCTTCCTTGTGATTACATTTCTTTTAGCATGTTTATCTATTGTCAGTCCTCATCACCACGGAATAAAACATTACATAATTCCAGGCCCCAGGAGGTACTGTGTTTGTATCATTATAACTCTGATGATTGACAGTACTTGATAGATCAGACTTCTGTCTCTATAAATATAGAAAAGCTAGGGTGCCTTCAGTCAAGTATACAATGTATCAATCAATGTAGAGGTGTTTTGACAAGTAGGTAAAAATATTTTCATTTGATACACCTGTGCACAGACTGCATAATACGTGATTGTTTTGGTAATATTTGATGATGAAGATTTTTTGATTTCATTGCATGAGGGATGTTCATGCACAAGTTCCTTCCTTGTACAAATATACTTTTTACTTGCAACAAAGTTTTTTGTTGAAGCTTTAACATTTTACGGAGGATGTTGAATTAGTCTTTGACATTTCTTCATATGCTGGATATTGCTTGGTAGACAGTTTAGCTTTTTTTTAAAAAAAAAAAAAAAAAAAAAATGTTTAGAAGAAAATTTCATTATAAATTTTAGTGTAATGAAGAATTTATAAATTATAAGGGTATTATTTTTTCAGTACTCAGGCAAAATTTCTGAAATCTTTATATTTGCATATTTCATTTTTTACGTGACCCGGCCTGTCTATTAGTTTACTGTGAGAGCCCTCAAAACGGAGGCCGTAGTGATAACACATGAATTAAATCTACGCTATATGAAAGAGTGCAAAAATTGTTTTGATCAAAATATAAACATTCTATATCAAACTGAAGAAAGTGATATGAACTTTTTTATAAATGAAATTAATGAAGCATTTTATAAACGTAAACTCAGAATATTAATTGTAAAACACACTAGTAAACAAAGTACTCTCCTGCGTAGTATCAGAGCTGCCAACCCTTACGATTTTGGCGTAAGACGTACGAAATCAGCGTCTAAAATACGCCTTACGATTTCTCTTTTTATTCTTCCGATTTCAGTTTTTCTCGTTCAAAATTTATAATACCTGTATTTTCATAAGCTGGCAGTCCATAGTATCTACATTATCATGTATTCATAATTCTTACAACGTTTGCTTGTATCATCATTTCGGTTTTAGAAGGCCAATCACATTCATGTCAATGTTTTAAAGTAAACAAAATGGAAACAACTATGTCTCAGATCGCATGTTCATTTACAAAACATCTTCAGCATCAGGGGGCTTAGGTGGTCCCTAGACCCTGCCTTACTATTTGTCATTTAAGAATGTTGGCAGCTCTGTAGTATTACGACTGCGTACGCATCATCCATTGTTTACTTCCGCAGGAATATTAATTCGGACCAGGTGAAATTCGTACAATTCAAAAAGGTTTCTAGACTTTAATGAAAAACGTGAATTTATGTAATTCACAGGTCTGTTTTTAGTTTCTTACTTAAAAAAATTATCAAAACTCATTAAAAAAATCACATTTGTGAAATCTAGCATGAAAATTATATGGACCCCGTCTTTCAGTACTGTTTCAGTACTTTGATGTATTTCATGGAGTAAAAAATACTGTATGGCCAGTTGAGTGACAGGTTTTCATGGAAAGGGGGGTGGGGTTGAGGTTGCCTCAGAATTGTTGAATGTAAATTTTATAAGGTTTTCTTTTAGACAGACATCTAGTGACACTCAAAACCAAAGAAATTTACTTTGCAGTCAACAGATGCTATATTGCAGGAAGTGTCCCCGGCTCGTAGTTCAAAACATAAGACTATTGAATTTCTTTAATAACTCCATAATTTTGTAACTAGACACTTGTATTGTCTTTTTCTGACATGCAAAATCCTTTAAGTCACAATATTGCATGCAAGATTGAGTGAATTAATTGCAACTTTTCATGCAAACATTGAGTATTTTCTGATGTTATCCTCAATGAATAATCTTTTAAAAAACTAACCATGACAAGATCTATAATGTGTCGATCCATTCAATGATCTAGAGTTGTTGGGAGAGGGGGGTGGGGTTAAAAAAAAGTTAAACAGCAATTAATGTATTAAAATAATGAATCTCAATCTATTACGGGAAAAAGATTGCCAAGACGATTATAGGAATTACAGCGCTATGACAAAAGTATTCGCGATTTTTCAAAATGGCGGACGTAAACACGATGCGCTTCGTAAAAATAAACAATAAATTGTGAAACAAATAACAGACTTACTTTTATTAATACTTGGTGAGGTGGCCCTTAGACTTGATTACTGCTAATAGTCGACGGGGAATAGATTCATACAAGGATTTGATATAGTTTTCGTCGAAGGAAGTCCAGATGTGTAAAATAGCATCGAACAATTCTTCCGGAGTCTTTATGTTTGGAGCTCGATTTTGCAGAGTTCTCTTGATTTTTAGCCATAAATTCTCTATAATATTAATGTCCGGTGATTGAGCTGGCCATACAATTGTAGGAATATTATTTTGTTGTTTGTAATCTACAGTAATACGAGCTCTATGGACGGGGGCGTTGTCGTCTTGAAAACGATAGGTTTTGTTGGGGAAATGTCGGGCAATTACGGGCCAAAGTTGATCTTTTAAAATGGATATGTATTTTACTGCATTGATATTTCCATTGACCATGCAAAGTGTACCAACCCCGTGGTAAGTGATGCATCCCCACACCATTACCGAAATCCTTCTCTGCCGAGGGGGGCACATGCACTGCGGCAAGTACGATTCTTTAGATGTTCTCCACACATACACTCTATGATTCTCTCCTAAAACTATCTGACTTTCATCAGAAAATATAATTGTATTCCAATAATTATTCACT